TGATGGTTCACGATGTGTGATGATGGTTCACGATGTGTGTTATGATGGTTCACGGTGTATGATGATGGTTCACGATGTGTGATGATGATGGTTCACGATGTGTGATGATGATGGTTCACGGTGTGTGATGATGGTTCACGATGTGTGATGATGGTTCACGATGTGTGATGATGGTTCACGGTGTATGATGATGGTTCACGGTGTGTGATGATGGTTCACGGTGTGTGATGATGGTTCACGATGTGTGATGATGGTTCACGATGTGTGATGATGGTTCACGGTGTGTGATGATGGTTCACGATGTGCGATGATGGTTCACGGTGTATGATGATGGTTCACGATGTGTGATGATGGTTCACGATGTGTGATGATGGTTCACGATGTGCGATGATGGTTCACGATGTGCGATGATGGTTCACGGTGTATGATGATGGTTCACGGTGTGTGATGATGGTTCACGATGTGTGGATGGTTCACGGTGTGTGATGATGGTTCACGATGTGATGATGGTTCACGTGTGTGATGAGGTTCACGGTCTGTGATGATGGTTCACGATGTGTGATGATGGTTCACGATGTGATGATGGTTCACGGTGTGATGATGGTTCACGATGTGTGATGATGGTTCACGGTGTGTGATGATGGTTCACGATGTGTGATGATGGTTCACGGTGTGTGATGATGATGGTTCACGATGTGTGATGATGGTTCACGATGTGTGATGATGGTTCACGATGTGTGATGATGGTTCACGGTGTGTGATGATGGTTCACGGTGTGTGATGATGGTTCACGATGTGTGATGATGGTTCACGATGTGTGATGATGGTTCACGATGTGTGATGATGGTTCACGATGTGTGATGATGGTTCACGATGTGTGATGATGGTTCACCATGTGTGATGATGGTTCACGATGTGTGATGATGGTTCACGATGTGTGATGATGGTTCACGATGTGCGATGATGGTTCACGATGTGTGATGATGGTTCACGGTGTGTGATGATGGTTCACGATGTGTGATGATGGTTCACGGTGTGTGATGATGGTTCACGATGTGTGATGATGGTTCACGATGTGTGATGATGGTTCACGATGTGTGATGATAGTTCACGGTCTGTGATGATGGTTCACGATGTGCGATGATGGTTCACGCTCCTTGACGACATCGGCGCGAGATATCGTGCCGCTCATTTGTTGCGAGCACTTTGTGTGCACAATGAGTTGCAAGCTCACGATCGCAATGTACTAGGTCCATCCACCGTCTCCCTCCTCCCTCCATCCCTCCCTCCCTCTCTCCTCCTCCTCCTCCACTCCCCCTCGGAGAGTTGAGTTATTTCGTGAAGGAAATTCCAGCCCCGTACGTCTAGAGAGATAGACGGGAACGGCGGGGAGTGCTTAAATACGCGTGTGTGTGCGTGCGCGTGTGTGCGTGCACACGCGCACGCACACACAGGCAAGGATCCCCCGTGTAGCCCTTAACAGGCTGTTGGGACAAGCGCTGTTTGCGAGCGCCTATTAAGGCTCGCACCGCACACCAAAGGAGAAGCGGGTTGTGTGGCCAGCAACGCTCCCAGCCGCCTTTGTCTTCCCTAGTGCTGATGGGGGTGTTTAGTTTTTTTACTTTACTCCACACCGCACCAGGTTACTCATTTTAAGGCTGACTCGACCTCGGGGAGGCCCAGGACCGGCTCAGATAATCGTCACCGGTGCTGGTGGCCGTGAGCGGGTATCGAACTCGGGTCGCCGGGCTTCGGACCGCAGCGCGCTAACCGCTGTGCCACCGCTCCCCATACACACACACGTATGCGCACACACGCACACGTAACAACAACAACAACAACAACCACCGCCATCCAACCACTAAGTGGCGGTGACGTCACCACGGCGCCTGTGGCCCGCATGATGGACTTCATGGCCACGTGAAGCGTCGAAGGCTCGCTGCTGGCAGGAGGTTACGGGACAGACCCAGCAGGTGCCACGGATTGACCGACCGAGACGACTGAGATGACTGGCCGATGCACCACCTGTGCCCCCTACTGTGCCAGCTCGCTGGGATTTAGCCGCCCGGCGCTCCGCTCGTTGTGAGCGTCGCTCCTCCGCCCTCCGTTGTTGTTGGAGGGCGACTGCCTCCAACTGCCCAGCAGCAGCGTCCTTCACGAGCCTCCTCCACAGAGGCCGATCTTGACACCGCTGATACCGGTCATGGACAATCAGTCAATCTCTTCTCCAGCCCGTGCTGCGCCAATTTAGCCCCCTCGATCCGGCCACGTCTCCATGTGTCTCCCTGTGTCTCCTTGCGTCTCCCCGTGAATCCACATGGCTCCCCATATCTCCATGTCTCCCATGTGATATCACTCAATGCCCAGTGTCTCCCCCGTATTCTCCCTGTGTCCCCCTGTGTCTCCCTGTGCCTCGCATCTCCTCATGTGCACACGTGTCTTCATTCAACTCCCTGCGTCTCCCCGTGTCTCCTGGTGTCTCCCCGCATCTCCACTCATCTCCCCGTGTCTCCCATCTTCTCCTCGTTAGTCTCCCCGTGTCTCCCATCTTCTCCCCGTAGGTCTCCCCGTGTCTCTCGGTGTCTCCCCGCACCTCCACTCATCTCCCCGTGTCTCCCATCTTCTCTCTGTAGGTCTCCCCGTGTCTCCCAGTGTCTCCCCGCATCTCCACTCATCTCCCCGTGTCTCCCATCTTCTCGTTAGTCTCCCCGTGTCTCCCATCTTCTCCCCGTTGGTCTCCCCGTGTCTCCCGGTGTCTCCCCGCATCTCCACTCATCTCCCCGTGTCTCCCATCTTCTCGTTAGTCTCCCCGTGTCTCCCATCTTCTCCCCGTAGGTCTCCCCGTGTCTCTTGGTGTCTCCCCGCACCTCCACTCATCTCCCCGTGTCTCCCATCTTCTCTCTGTAGGTCTCCCCGTGTCTCCCGGTGTCTCCCTGCATCTCCACTCATCTCCCCGTGTCTCCCATCTTCTCCCCGTTGGTCTCCCGGTGTCTCCCGGTGTCTCCCCGCACCTCCACTCATCTCCCCATGTCTCCCGGTGTCTCCCCGCACCTCCACTCATCTCCCCGTGTCTCCCATCTTCTCCCCGTTGTTCTCCCCGTGTCTCCCGGTGTCTCCCCGCACCTCCACTCATCTCCCTTCGTCTCTCCGTGTCTCCGCAGGTTGGGTCTCGCCACTGATAGAGTTCGTCTCCAACCGATGCCATGGGAGCGGTGGCCATGGTAACCGTCTCCGCACTCCTCATCTCCATGACGACCACCTTCATCACGGCCGCAGGTGAGAGGTCACACGGGCCTCGCCATCGTGAACCTTCGTGCACCCTCGACTCGTGACGATAATGGACGTGATGATGGCGATGTTGATGATGCTGCTGATGATGATGATGCTGCTGATGATGATGCTGCTTCTGCTGATGATGCTTTTGTTGTTGACGCTGCTGCTGCCAATGAAGCTCCTGCCGATGCTACTGCTGACGATGCTACTGCTGACGATGCTACTGCTGATGTTGCTGCTGCTGATTATGATGCTGATGATGATGCTACTGCCGAACCTAATGATGCTTCTGCTACTGCTGCTGATGATGCTTATGATGATGATGATGCTGCCGATGCTGATGATGCTCCTGTTGAGGATGCTTCTGCTACTACTACTAATGATGATGATGCTGATGATGATGCTACTGCCGATTATGCTTCTGCTGCTACTACTGCTGCTGATGGTGCTGGTGCTGATGCTACTGCCGACGCTGATGATGCTTCTGCTACTGCTGATGATGATGCTTTTGGTGATGTCGATGCTGATGATGCTACTGCCGATGACGCTTCTGCTGCTACTGCTGATGATGCTGCTGATGATGGTGATGTTGGTGATGATGTTGGTGATGCTGATGTTGATGATGCTGATGATGCTACTGCCAATGATGCTTCTGCTGCTACTACTGCTGCTACTACTGCTGCTGATGGTGCTGGTGCTGATGCTACTGCCGACGCTGATGATGCTTCTGCTACTGCTGATGATGATGCTTTTGATGATGTCGATGCTGATGATGCTACTGCCGATGATGCTTCTGCTGATGATGCTGCTGATGCTGCTGATGATGCTGCTGATGATGATGTTGGTGATGCTGATGTTGATGATGCTGATGCTGCTGATGATGATGCTGGTGATGCTGATGTTGATGATGCTGATGATGCTACTGCCGATGATGCTTCTGCTGCTACTGCTGCTGCTGCTGCCGATGATGTTGATGATGCTGATGATGCTGCTGATGCTGCTGATGATGATGCTGGTGATGCTGATGATGCTGATGATGCTGCTGTCGCCGTGCGCGCGCTCCCATCAGAGCCGCCCATCCCAGCCGTCTCCGTCCCGTCACCGGTCCGAGTCTCCGTCATCCGCGGCTCCCGCGTCCGCCTCTCCTGCAAGTCGCCGCTGGCGGATGTGCGGCTCACGTGGAGACACAGCGCGGGTGAGGGCAGCAGCAGCGGATAGAGCACGCTCACTCACGCGCAGAGACACGCACGCACACACACGCGGACAAAGATTGCTTCCTCCCCCCCCTCCGCCCATCCCAGCTCGTGGTAGCGAGATGTTAACTGCTTCGCCTGGTATACAGGAAGTCGTGGGTGTGATCCCTAGGTGGGGAGATGTTAACTACCTCGCCTGGTGTACAGGAAGTCGTGGGTGTGATCCCTAGGTGGGGAGATGTTAGCTACCTCGCCTGGTATACAGGAAGTCGTGGGTGTGATCCCACAGTGGTGAGATGTTAACTACCTCGCCTGGTATACAGGAAGTCGTGGGTGTGATCCCTAGGTGGGGAGATGTTAACTACCTCGCCTGGTATACAGGAGGTCGTGGATGTGATCCCTAGGTGGGGAGATGTTAACTACCTCGCCTGGTATACAGGAAGTCGTGGGTGTGATCCCTAGGTGGTGAGATGTTAACTACCTCGCCTGGTATACCGGAGGTCGTGGATGTGATCCCTAGGTGGGGAGATGTTAGCTATCTCGCCTGGTATACAGGAGGTCGTGGATGTGATCCCTAGGTGGGGAGATGTTAACTACCTCGCCTGGTATACAGGAGGTCCTGGGTGTGATCCTTAGGTGGTGCGATGTTAACTACCTCGCCTGGTATACAGGAGGTCGTGGGTGTGATCCCTAAGTCGTGAGATGTTAACTACCTCGCCTGGTATACAGGAAGTCGTGGGTGGGATCCCACGGTGGTGAGATGTTAACTACCTCGCCTGATATACAGGAGGTCGTGGGTGTGATCCCTAGGTGGGGAGATGTTAACTACCTCGCCTGGTATACAGGAAGTCGTGGGTGTGATCCCTAGGTGGTGCGATGTTAACTACCTCGCCTGGTATACAGGAGGTCCTGAGTGTGATCCCTAGGTGGGGAGATGTTAACTACCTCGCCTGGTATACAGGAGGTCGTGGGTTCGATTCCGACCCTGACGCCTGCTGAAGATTTGGAGTTTGTGTGTCTCTCTCCCCATGGCCGTGTGGATTTTTCCGCGGGTCCTCCGGTTTTTCCCTCCACATTTAGAATCAACGTCACGCGTTTAGAGTCTTTTTTTGGCTGCGGTGGTGACGATGGTAATGACGGTGGTGACGATGGTAATGACGATGGTAATGACGATGGTAATGACGGTGGTGACGATAGTAATGACGGTGGTGATGACGATGGTAATGACGGTGGTGGTGACGATGGTAATGACGGTGGTGACGATGGTAATGGCGGTGGTGACGATGGTAATGACGGTGGTGACGATGGTAATGGCGGCGGTGACGATGGTAATGACGGTGGTGATGACGGTGGTGATGACGGTGGTGACGATGGTAATGACGATGGTGATGACGATGGTAATGACGATGGTAATGACGGTGGTGATGACGATGGCGGCGATGATGATGATGATGTCGTCGTTGTTGTTGCGTACGACGTCGGATCAGACGGCCAATGGCAATCCGGGGAGCTGTGGGGCGACCCCTTGCCCCCTGGCGCCCGGGTCACGGAGGTCACGGCGAGGTCGGGGGTCACGGTCTCGAAGCTCGTCATCGCCTCGCTGGACGAGAGCCTCGCGGGATTCTACCGCTGCCTCCTGCGAACGAGCGGAGGGGCCGCGATCAGCGGACCGGCCCACGTCTCCGTCATCCGTGAGTCGACCAGGGAGGGGCGGGGGGGGGGGTGGGGTGCTTGGACCGGTCCTGTGACGGAGTGGAGGATTGTGGGAGTAAGTGTGGGGGGAGGGGGGCAGGGTGGAGATACATTCAAATGAAAAAAGGTGGCGGAACTGCCCTGCAAAGCATTGTGGGAGGAAGCGAGCGTGGAGACACAAAAACAAAGACCCCCCCCCCGTATCGCCTTAACACAAGTGCTGTTAGCGAGCACCTGTAAAGGCTGGAACGGGTACACGAGGGAGTCGGATAGGCCAGCAAAACACACCTGCCCGGCCGCCTTTGTCTCCCCGTAGTGGCGATGTTTACGACACACCGCTACACCAGCTACTCATGCGAGGCAGAGTCAATTCAGATATCCGCCAATTGGTGTTGGCCGTGAGCGGGAATCGAACTCTGGGAACGCTAATCGCTGCGCCACCCGTCCCCGCAAAACAAACAAACACATGCACCAGATATGTGTACACACACACACAGCAACAAAATGCGTACACACGTAACAACAACCCCTCCCCCCCTTCACCGCTAAAGACGCCTGTGCCAGGCAAGGTGCAGTTTGAGGCCAAGTGATGTGCGGAAGGCTCGCTGCTGATAGGTCACAGAACAGACCCAAGCACTCATTCACTCACCCACCCACCCATTAACTCACCCACACACACACAACAACAACAAGCTTTATTCAAGCATACACTCACTGCTCACCTACCGACCAAGCGACTCACCCACCCACCAGCTACCTCACCCAACAATACACCCGCTCATTCACTCACTCACTCACCCACCCACTCACCCACTCACTCATCCACCCGCTCACTCAACTACTTACTCATTCACTCACCCGCTCAGTCACTCACTTACTCACCCACTCACCCGCTCACTCACCCACTCACTCACCCACTTACTCATTCACTCACCCACTTACTCATTCACTCACTCACTCACTCACCCGCTCACTCACCCGCACACTCACTCACTCATTCACTAACCCGCTCAGTCAATCACTCACTCACTCACTCACCCACTCACCCGCCCACTCACCCACTCACTCACCCACTTATTCATTCGCTAACCCGCTCAGTCACTCACTCGCTCACTCACCCGCCCACTCACCCTCTCACTCGCCCCGCCCCCCCCCCCCCCACTCACTCCACTCCCCGCCCCCTCCCATCTCCCCTCCACCCCCTAGACACGAACTCCTCCGCCTCCCGCGTCTCCCCCATCCGCGTCTCCGTGGCAACCGGCTCCTCGCTGGTCCTCGGCTGCCTGCACCCCGGCAACAGCAACGACAACAACAACAACGACAACAACAACAACGACAACAACGACGACAACGACGGCGAGGATTCCGACCCGCCCCCGCGTTCCGTCTCCGCGTGGAGCCGTCCCGGCGTCGCCGCCGTGCCGGCTACGCCGTCACCAGCGACGCTGGCGGCGCCGCGTGGCAGGATGAGGATGAGCGACGTGCGGAGGAGCGACGGCGGCCGCTACGCCTGCCGCTCGCCCGGCGCACCGCCGGCGGACGAGGTGGCCTACCTCGTCAGCGTGACGGGTGAGCGGGGAAGCAGCGTGGCGGGGGGGAAGGGTGGGCAATCGCTCGCTCTCGCTCGCTCGCTCGCTCTCACTCGCTCGCTCTCTCTCACTCGCTCGCTCTCTCTCTCACTCGCTCTCTCTCACTCACTCTCTCTCACTCACTTGCTCTGACTCACTCTCGCTCGCTCGCTCGCTCTCACTCACTCTCACTCGCTCGCTCGCTCTCACTCGCTCGCTCTCACTCGCTCTCACTCGCTCGCTCGCTCTCACTCGCTCGCTCTCACTCGCACTCCCTCACTCGCTTGCTCTCACTCACTCGCTCTCACTCGCTCGCTCTCACTTGCTCTCACTCACTCTCACTCTCTCTCACTCACTCTCTCTCACTCACTTGCTCTGACTCACTCTCACTCGCTCGCTCTCTCTCACTCACTCTCTCTCTCTCACTCTCTCTCTCTCACTCTCTCTCTCTCACTCTCTCTCACTCTCTCGCTCTCTCTCTCTCACTCTCTCTCGCTCGCTCTCTCTCACTCTCTCTCTCACTCACTCTCACTCACTCTCTTGCTCTCACTCTCTCTCGCTGTCTCTCACTCTCACTCACTCTCTCGCTCTCTCTCTCACTCACTCGCTCTCACTCTCTCTCACTCTCTCTCACTCTCACTCACTCTCTCACTCTCACTCTCTCTCTCACTCACTCACTCTCACTCACTCTCACTCACTCACTCGCTCTCACTCTCTCTCACTCTCTCTCACTCTCACTCACTCTCACTCACTCTCTCACTCACTCTCTCACTCACTTTCTCACTCTCTCACTCTCACTTTCTCACTCACTCTCACTCTTTTTTTTACGATCAGAGGAAACGAGAAGATGCTCGGTGTAGTCGGCACTTTGCTCCGTTCATCATTTCGGTTTTTGTTTAATGCTTTGCTTTATGTAAACCCCACCCCCCCCCCCCACCTTTTTAAATGAAAGATTTAACAAAATATTTCTCGCTCTGCTTTCCTTACCCCTTCCCTCTCTCTCTCTACCCCCCTCTCTGCCCCCCCTCTCTCTCTACCCCCTCTCTTCCTACTCCATGTCGCTCTCGTGCTCTCTCTCTCTCTCTCGCTCTCTCTCCATCTCACTCTCACTCACTCCCTGCTCTTACTTCTTCTCTCACTCTCTCTCACTCTCCCTCTCTCTCTCAATCTCTCTCTCCATCTCACTCTCTCTCTCCCTCACTCTCCCACTCTCTCTCAATCTCTCTCTCCCTCTCACTCTCCCTCACTCTCCCTCTCTCTCTCAATCTCTCTCCCCCTCTCTCTTCGTCTCTCCCTCACTCTCTCTCCCTCACTCTCCCTCTCTCTCCCTCACTCTCCCTCTCTCTCTCAATCTCTCTCTCACTCTCTCTCTCTCCCTCACTCTCCCTCTCTCTCTCAATCTCTCTCTCCCCCTCTCTCTTCGTCTCTCTCCCTCACTCTCCCTCTCTCTCCCTCACTCTCCCTCTCTCTCTCAATCTCACTCTCTCCCTCACTCTCCCTCTCTCTCTCAATCTCTCTCTCCCCCTCTCTCTTCGTCTCTCTCCCTCACTCTCTCTCCCTCACTCTCCCTCTCTCTTCGTCTCTCTCTCACTCTCTCTCCCTCTCCACTCGGTGGGGGTCGCACAGCGAGCCATAGACTTACATACAGACCCATGGACTCGCATAGAGACCCATAGACTTACATGGAGACCCACAGACTAACGCAGAGACCCGTAGAATTGCATAACTTCCCTGTGTCTCAACTCACCCTCCCTCATCCCCCCTCACCCCACACTACCCCCTCACCCCCTCCCCCCCTCACCCCCCCATCTGCAGACCCCCCCCTCTCCGCGTCCCCTCTGCAGGAGTTGTCAACGGCTCCGGGCGCAGTGGCCGTGGTGAGCTGCGGCGGGGGCGGGGGCGGAGGTCGCGACCTCTCCCCTCCCCGCTGGCTCCGCGACGGGCGACCCCTGACCCCCGACCCGCGGCTGGACGAGGGCCGCGGCCTGCTGACGATCGCCGGCGTGCGGGAAGGGGACGCCGGAGTTTACCAGTGCCTGGTGGAGCGGGCGGGCCTGGAGGGCGGCAGCGTGACCCGGGTCACAGTGCTCACCGGTGAGTGGGTGGGTGGGTGACTGAAAGTGGGTGAGAGGGTGAGTGGGTGAGAGGGTGGGTGAGAGGGTGAGTGGGTGGGCTGGTGACAGGGTGAGTGGGTGAGAGTGAGTGGGTGGGTGGGTGACTGAAAGTGGGTGAGTGGGTGGGTGAGTGAGTGACTGGGTGAGTGGGTGGGCAGGTGAGAGGGTGAGTGGGTGAGAGTGTGTGGGTGAGTGGGTGACTGAAAGTGGGTGAGAAGGTGACTGAAAGTGGGTGAGTGTGTGGGTTAGAGGGTGACTGGGTGAGTGGGTGGGTGGGTGGGTGACTGAAAGTGGGTGAGAGGGTGAGTGGGTGACTGGGTGAGTGGGTGGGTGAGTGGGTGGGCAGGTGAGAGGGTGAGTGGGTGAGAGTGTGTGGGTGAGTGGGTGACTGAAAGTGGGTGAGTGGGTGAGAGGGTGACTGGGTGAGTGGGTGGGTGGGTGACTGAAAGTGGGTGAGTTGGTGGGTGAGTGACTGGGTGAGTGGGCGGGTGAGTGGGTGCGAGGGTGAGCGGGTGAGTGGGTGGGTGAGAGGGTGAGTGGGTGAGAGTGTGTGGGTGAGTGAGTGACTGGGTGAGTGGGTGGGTGGGTGAGAGGGTGAGTGGGTGGGTGAGAGGGTGACTGGGTGAGTGGGCAGGTGACTGAAATTGGGTGAGTCGGTGAGAGGGTGAGTGGATGAGTGGGCGGGTGAGTGGGTGTGAGGGTGAGTGGGTGAGAGGGTGAGAGGGTGCGAGGGTGAGTGGGTGAGAGTGTGTGGGTGAGGGTGAGTGGGTGACTGGGTGGGTGGGTGAGAGGGTGGGTGGGTGAGAGGGTGGGTGGGTGAGAGTGTGTGGGTGAGGGTGAGTGGGTGACTGGGTGAGTGGGTGGGTGGGTGACTGGGTGGGTGAGAGGGTGGGTGGGTGGGTGAGAGGGTGGGTGGGTGGGTGAGAGGGTGGGTGGGTGAGTGGGTGGGTGGGTGGGTGAGAGGGTGGGTGGGTGGGTGAGAGGGTGGGTGGGTGGGTTAGAGGGTGGGTGGGTGGGTGAGAGGGTGGGTGGGTGGGTGAGAGGGTGGGTGGGTGAGAGGGTGAGTGGGTGAGAGTGTGAGTGAGTAATTAACCATGGCTAACAATGGTAACGACGGCAACGACGATGGCGGTGATGTTGCTAATAGTATTCTTAATAGTATTCTTAATAGTATTCTTAATAGTATTCTGACCCCGGTGGGTTTTAGAATTCTAACAGGGGTCAAATTTTCCCTTCCCCCCCCCCCCCCGTCCGCCGAATCTCTCCCTCCAGGCTCGCCGTCGCGACACCTCTCCTCGTCGCCACCCTCCTCCTCCGGCGCCAGCAGAGGTCGCGAGCCCTCCGTCGCCACATCATCATCAACATCGTCATCATCATCGGCGTCGACGCCTCCTCCGCCTCCCACCGCCTCCCCGGCGACGGCCAATCAGAGCGCGGCGGGGGCGGCCCCGAGGGCCCAGGCCGCGGCGCCCGAGGCCCCCATCATCCTGAGTCCGACGCGGACTCACCGGCCGGACTCGTACCTTCTGCAGTGGATGCCGGGCTCCTCCTCCTCCTCCTCATCGTCGTCGTCGTCATCCGAGTCCGGTGGTGGTGCCGCCGCCGCCGCCGGCTCCTCCTCCTCCTCCTCCTCCGTGCTCGACTTCCTGATTCGCTACCGGGAGGTGAGTGGCGGCTTCCTATCGGCCAATCGGTGGCTTCCAAATTGGGGGGGCGGCCGGTGGTGGGGAAGGGAGGGGTGGGGGTCCACAAGAAATCAATCAGTCAGTCTTCATGAATGTTACGTACCAATATCTACAAACTAAAACACTCAAACTAAACTACTTTTAATTTCACCTGGTAAGGCTCACTGAGCTATGTAGTTATTTTTCAGAAGGGTCCTGGCTATCACGAACGATAGCCCGACGAGGTGGCTTCACATCACCGCGTGGGACATTTTTAGCGGCCAAATCACTCTGCACGCGTGACGCCGCTTCCAAACGTGGAGGGGGAAAGACCGCGAGGGCACGGAGAAAAATCTACGAGACGACGGGGGGGAAAGAGAGAGGCACCGCAAGCTCCAAATGCGCAGCGACGGGCGTTGAGATCAGTGTCGAACTCGCGGCCTCCTGCATAGCGGGCGAGGTAGTTAACAGGGCGGGGAGGCACCTGGAGAAAGCACGCGAAGACGCGTGTCTCCGCGTGTCTCCCCCGCGTGTCTCCGCGTGTCCCGCGCGTGTCTCCCCCGCGTGTCTCCCCCGCGCGTGTCTCCCCCACGTGTCTCTCCCGCGCGTGTCCCTCGCGTCTCCCCCGCGTGTCTCCCCCGCGTGTCTCCCCCGCGCGTGTCTCCCCCCCGCGTGTCTCCACCGCGCGTGTCTCCCGCGTGTCTCCGCTGCTCCCGTGCGCGTCCCAGCTCTCCGAGGACGGCTCCGTGGGCGGTCGCTGGCTCACCGTTCGCGTGCCACCAGACCAGCGGGAGTTTTCGCTGTCGCAGCTGCGGGCCTCGAGCCTCTACGAGGTCGAGGTCCTCGCCCGCAGCCTGCGCGCCGACGGACAGGCCGCCATGTTCACCTTCCGCACGGGGAAAGGTGAGCGGCGGGGGAGGGGCGGGGGAGGGGCGGGGGAGGGGCGGGGGAGGGGCGGGGGAGGGGCGGGGGAGGGGCGGGTGAGCAACGGCACCGCGGTGGCTAGGAGATGTTAACTACCTCGCCTGGTATACAGGAGGTCGTGGGTTCGATCCCGCGGTGGCTAGGAGATGTTAACGACCTCGCCTGGTATACAGGAGGTCGTGGGTTCGATCCCGCGGTGGCTAGGAGATGTTAACTACCTCGCCTGGTATACAGGAGGTCGTGGGTTCGATCCCGCGGTGGCTAGGAGATGTTAACGACCTCGCCTGGTATACAGGAGGTCGTGGGTTCGATCCCGCGGTGGCTAGGAGATGTTAACTACCTCGCCTGGTATACAGGAGGTCGTGGGTTCGATCCCGCGGTGGCATGAGATGTTAACGACCTCGCCTGGTATACAGGAGGTCGGGGGTTCGATCCCGCGGTGGCTAGGAGATGTTAACTACCTCGCCTGGTATACAGGAGGTCGTGGGTTCGATCCCGCGGTGGCTAGGAGATGTTAACTACCTCGCCTGCTTTACAGGAGGTCGTGGGTTCGATCCCGCGGTGGCTAGGAGATGTTAACTACCTCGCCTGGTATACAGGAGGTCGTGGGTTCGATCCCGCGGTGGCTAGGAGATGTTAACTACCTCACCTGGTATACAGGAGGTCGTGGGTTCGATCCCGCGGTGGCTAGGAGATGTTAACTACCTCGCCTGGTATACAGGAGGTCGTGGGTTCGATCCCGCGGTGGCATGAGATGTTAACGACCTCGCCTGGTACACAGGAGGTCGGGGGTTCGATCCCGCGGTGGCTAGGAGATGTTAACTACCTCACCTGGTATACAGGAGGTCGTGGGTTCGATCCCGCGGTGGCTAGGAGATGTTAACTACCTCGCCTGGTATACAGCAGGTCGTGGGTTCGATCCCGTGGTGGCTAGGAGATGTTAACTACCTCGCCTGGTATACAGGAGGTCGTGGGTTCGATCCCGCGGTGGCTAGGAGATGTTAACTACCTCGCCTGGTATACAGGAGGTCGTGGGTTCGATCCCGCGGTGGCTAGGAGATGTTAACTACCTCGTCTGGTATACAGGAGGTCGTGGGTTCGATCCCGCGGTGGCTAGGAGATGTTAACTACCTCGCCTGGTATACAGGAGGTCGTGGGTTCGATCCCGCGGTGGCTAGGAGATGTTAACTACCTCGCCTGGTATACAGGAGGTCGTGGGTTCGATCCCGCGGTGGCTAGGAGATGTTAACTACCTCGCCTGGTATACAGGAGGTCGTGGGTTCGATCCCGCGGTGGCTAGGAGATGTTAACTACCTCGCCTGGTATACAGGAGGTCGTGGGTTCGATCCCGCGGTGGCTAGGAGATGTTAACTACCTCGCCTGGTATACAGGAGGTCGTGGGTTCGATCCCGCGGTGGCTAGGAGATGTTAACTACCTCGCCTGGTATACAGGAGGTCGGGAGTTCGATCCCGCGGTGGCTATGAGATGTTAACTACCTCACCTGGTATACAGGAGGTCGTGGGTTCGATCCCGCGGTGGCTATGAGATGTTAACTACCTCACCTGGTATACAGGAGGTCGGGGGTTCGATCCCGCGGTGGCTATGAGATGTTAACTACCTCACCTGGTATACAGGAGGTCGTGGGTTCGATCCTGCGGTGGCTATGAGATGTTAACTACCTCGCCTGGTACGCAGGAGGTCGCGGGCTCGATCCCGACACTGACGCCTGCTGCTGTATATTTGGAGTTTGTGTCTCTCTCTCTCTCCCGGTGATCGCGTGGATTTTTCTCCGGGTCCTCCGGTTTTTTCCCTCCACATTTAGAATCGACAACACCGCGCGTTTCGACCATCTGACCGCTATAAATTAACACTCGGTGATGCTAGTTAGCCACTGCGTTTTAAAGTTTGACTTGCCCCGACGGCGCGGTGAAGGCTACGCGGGGGACCTTTGTCTGTGTGCGCCGCAGAGCGGTCGTCCAAGTTCCCGGCGATGGGCGCCCACGTGGTGGGGGCTGGCCAGGCGAAGAACGACTCCCAGCACGGAGCGGCACGCACCTCGCCAGAGGACGGCGGGCACACGGGTACACGCGTGTACACACACACGTACACACACACGTACATACACACGCACGTGCACACACACACACGTGCACGTGCACACACACACACGTGCACACACACATGTGTACACACACACGTACACACACACAGACACGTACACACACACATACACACACACGTGCACACACACACATGCACACACACACGTACACACACACACACGTGTACACACACACACGTACACACACACACGTACACACACACACGTGTACACACACACGTGTACACACACACACGTACACACACACACGTGTACACACACACGTGTACACACACACACGTACACACACACACGTACACACACACACACGTACACACACGTGTACACGTGTACACACACACGCATATACACACACACGTACACACACACACGCGCGTACACACACGTACATACACACGTGTACACACACACACGTGCACACACACACACACATGCACACATACACACATACACACACGTACACACACACGTGTACACACACACATGCACACACACACGTACACACACACGTGTACACACACACACGTACACACACACACACGTACACACACACACGTGTACACACACACGTGTACACACACACACGTACACACACACACGTGTACACACACACGTGTACACACACACACGTACACACACACACGTGTACACACACACGTGTACACACACACACGTACACACACACACACGTACACACACACACGTGTACACGTGTACACACACACGCATATACACACACACGTACACACACACACGCGCGTACACACACGTACATACACACGTGTACACACACACACGTGCACACACACACACACATGCACACATACACACATACACACACGTACACACACACGTGTACACACACACACACGCATATACACACACATACACACACACACGTACACACACACACGTGTACACACACACGTACACACACGTACACACACACACATACACACGTACACACACACAAGTACACACACACGTACATACACACACACATACACACACACATACACACGTACACACACACACACGTACACACACACACACACGTACACACACACACGCATATACACACGGGTACACGCGTGTGCACACACACGTACACACACGTACAACAACAACAACAACAACCGCCATTCGCCACTAAGTGGCGGTGACGTCACCACGACGCTTGTGCCAGGCTATGTGCACCCTGAGGCCACGTGAAGTGTCGAACGCCCGCTGGCAGGAGGTCACGGGGCAGACCCAGGTGCCACGGGTCGACTGACTGAGATGACTGGCTGATGCACCACCTGTGCCCCCTACTGTGCCAACCTGCTGTGCTTTAGCCACCCGGCGCTCCGCTCGCTGTTGTGAGCGTCGCTCCTCCGCCCTCCGTTGTTGTTGGAGGGCGACTGCCTCCAACTGCCCAGTAGCATCCTTCACGAGCCTCCTCCACAGAGGCCGATCTTGACACCGCTGGTACCAGTCATCGGCAAGTCCACTCAGCTCCACGTCCTCCTGTACCACATCACTCCATCTCTTCTCTAGCCCGTGCCGCGCCCGCTTAGCCCCCTCAATCCGGCCAAACAAAAGCTGTTTCGGCATGCGGTGGCTGGGCATGCGGGCTACATGACCCAGCCATCGCAGCCTTGCCTGCCGGAGGAGCTCACCGATGGGACCCTGCCCAGATCTTTCAAGGATTTGTGAGCTCTTCACACAATCCAGTCTGGTTAAACCCAGGATGGATCGTAGGCAGGCCAGCCTAAATGTTTCTAACACACGTACACACACACACGTACACACATACACACGTACACACACGTACACACACACACGTACACACACACACGTACACACACACACGCATATACACACGGGTACACGCGTGTACACACACACGTACACACACACACGCATATACACACGGGTACACGCGTATACACACACGTACACACACACACGTACATACACACACACATACACACACACGTACACACACATGTACACACACACGTATATACACACGGGTACACGCGCGTACACACACACACATATATACACACGGGTACACGCTTGTACACAAACGTACGCACACACGCACACGTACATACACGCCCATATACACACGGGTACACGCGTGTACACACACACGTACATGCACGTGTATATACACACGTATATACACACGGGTACATACATGTACACACACACGTACACACACACGTACATGCACGAGTATATACACACGTATATACACACGTGTACGTGTGTGTACATACACACGTACATACAATGACAAAGATTCCCCGTCTAGCCTTAACAGACTGTAGGGACAAGTGCTGTTAGCGAGTAGCACCTATGAAGGCCGGCACGGCACACGAGGGGGTGAGTGGCCAGCACCACGCCCGGCCGCCTTTGTCTCCCCCAGTGACGATGTTTACCACACACCGCTACACCAGGTACTCATTTGAGGCCGAGTCGACCTAGGGGAGGCCCAGGACCAGTTCAGATAATCGTCACTGACCGTGGAATCGAACTCGGGTCGCCGGGTTCGTAGCGCTAACCGCTACACTACCGCTCCCCACATACACACACACACAAAGACAAAATACCCCCATATAGCCTAACGGACTGTTGCGGCAAGTGCTGTTAGAAAGCACGCCACACCAGCTACTCGCTTGAGGCTGAGTCGACCTAGGGGAGACACACACACGCGAGCTGTGACGTCTCCCGGTGAAGCCCCCTTGATGCTGTGAGCTCCTCCCCCCCACCCCGTTCACTGCTCCCCTCTTTCTCTCTCTCTCCTGTCTCTCACCTTGGCTGCCGGCTTGAGGATCGTAAGTACCCTGACCCACTCCATTGCTGCAACGTTGGTAGTGAGGGGAGACCCCACCCAACAACACTGCCCTGACCCAGCAAATACTGCCTCTCCCCTCTCATCTCACTCCACTCCCCTCTCATCTCACTCCACTCCCCTCTCATCTCACTCCACTCTCCTCTCATCTCACTCCACTCCCCTCCACGCTCTCTCCTGCCTCCCCCTCTCATCTCACTCCACTCCCCTCTCATCTCACTCCACTCCCCTCTCATCTCACTCCACTCTCCTCTCATCTCACTCCACTCCCCTCCATGCTCTCTCCTGCCTCTCCCTCTCATCTCACTCCACTCCCCTCTCATCTCACTCCACTCCCCTCTCATCTCACTCCACTCCCCTCCACGCTCTCTCCTGCCTCTCCCCTCTCATCTCACTCCACTCCCCTCTCATCTCACTCCACTCCCCTCCACGCTCTCTCCTGCCTCTCATCTCACTCCACTCCCCTCCACGCTCTCTCCTGCCTCCCCCCTCTCAGCTCACTCTACTCCCCTCCACGCACTCAATGGGTCTCTGTGTGAGTCTACGGGTCTCTGTGTGAGTCTATGGGTCTCTGTGAGTCTATGGGTCTCTGTGTGAGTCTACGGGTCTCTGTGTGAGTCTATGGGTCTCTGTGTGAGTCCATGATTCTCTGTATGAGACATACACACATAGACATAAACACACACACACATAGATATAATTACACATAAATACAGGGACAAAGATAAAGATCCCCCTTATAGCCTTTTACAGAGTGTGGGGGCAAGTGCTGTTAGCGAGTAGCGGCACCTATCAAGGCCGGCATGGCCCCCCTATGAGAGGGTGGTGTGGCGAGCACCACACCCGGCCACCTTTGTCTCCCCAGTGACGATGTTTACTACACACCGCTACACCAGGCACCTCATTTAAGGCCGAGTCGACCTAGGGGAGGGGAGGACGGCACGCCCCGTTGTGCGGCCGTGGGATTTTATATATTTTTGTTTATTTTATTTGATGAAAAAGTGCTTATTGTTACCAAGTGCCTAGCCGTATACGGCCCGTTGGGACTTTTAATCTGGCCCGCCGAACTTGTACAAATATTATTATTATTAAATTAAATGTTACCTTTCTCCTGTAATGCCCCCATTTCCCCATTAGATGGCGCACTTTGACCGGGAGTTACGACACGTTTTTGTATCGTTCATGTTCGTGCAATTTGCTAAATTGCCTTGCAAATCAATGCTTTGCTACCTGTTATAAAGGCCAAATCCTTTCATGTAATGATTTGTTCCTGGCCCGGCCCCTCTGTCAAATTTGATGAACCCACTGTGGCCAGCGAGTTCAAAAAATGTGCCCACCCCCTGGCCTAGCTCTCACTCAGAAGCGACGTGGCTATCGCGAATGATAGCTGCTCGACGGAGTGGCTCATGCTCATCGTGGTCATCATCACGTGCAAGATGATGACGACGGCAGCTTCATAATTGAGAAACGCGCGACGTCGATTCTAAACGCTGGGGGGGGGGGGGGAAAGTAGAAAACCCGGAGAAAAAATCCACGCAACCACGGGGAGAGAGAAAGAGAGAGAGAGAGACGCAAACTCCAAATATACAGCAGCAGCAGGCATTTGTCAGGGTCGGGATCGAACCCACGACCTCCTGCACACCAGGCGAGGTAGTTAACATCTCCTAGCCACCGTGATGATGAGAGAGAGACACTAAGACTCCAAATTTACAGCAGGCATTTGTCAGAGTCGTGATCGAACCCACGACCTCCTGTACACCAGGCGAGGTAGTTAACATCTCCTAGCCACCGTGATGATGAGAGAGAGACACTAAGACTCCAAATTTACAGCAGGCATTTGTCAGGGTCGGGATCGAACCCACGACCTCCTGCATACCAGGCGAGGTAGTTAACATCTCCTAGCCACTGAGTTGATGATAATGAGAGAGAGACACTAACACTCCAAATTTACAGCAGGCATTTGTCAGGGTCGGGATCGAACCCACGACCTCCTGCATACCAGGCGAGGTAGTTAACATCTAGCCACCGTGATGATGATGAGAGAGAGATAGAACCCACGACCTCCTGCATACCAGGCGAGGTAGTTAACATCTAGCCACCGTGATGATGATGAGAGAGGGATCGAACCCACGACCTCCTGCATACCAGGCGAGGTAGTTAACATCTCCCCTCCCCCCCCAGTCCCGGAGGCCCCGGACCGGCCCACGGTGGCGATGGCGTCCGACTCGTCGGCCTACGTAACGTGGATCCCGCGCGCCAACGGCGGCTCCCCCATCACCGCGTTCCACGTGGAGTTCCGGCGGCTGGGGGGTGGGGGGGCGGCACCCCCCCAACACTCGGGCGGGGGGGGGCCGGCGCCCGGCGGTGGGGTGGGGGCCGCCCCCCCCCACCACCACGCGGCGGGGGAGTGGACGGTGGCCGCCAAGGGGATCCCCCCCTCCAAGCTCTCCGTGGAGGTCAAGGGGCTACAGCCCGGTGGGCGAGGGGACGGGCGTCTGTCTGTGTATGTGTGTCTGTGTGTGTGTCTGTGTGTGTGTCTGTGTGTGTGTGTGTCTGTGTCTGTGTGTGTCTGCGTGTGTGTGTATGTGTGTGTCTGTGTGTGTGTGTGTGTCTGTGTGTGTCTGTGTGTGTGTGTGTGTGTCTGTGTGTGTGTTTGTGTGTGTGTCTGTGTGTGTGTGTCTGTGTGTGTGTCTGTGTGTGTGTGTATGTGTGTGTGTCTGTGTGTGTCTGTGTGTGTGTGTCTGTGTGTGTTTCTGTGTGTGTGTCTGTGTGTGTCTGTGTGTGTGTATCTGTGTGTGTGTCTGTGTGTGTGTCTGTGTGTGTGTGTGTCTGTGTGTCTGTGTGTATGTGTGTGTATGTGTCTCAGGGTGCACATAGCCTGGCACAAGCGCCGTGGTGACGTCACCGCCACTTAGTGGCGAATGGCGGTTGTTGTTGTTGTTGTTGGTGTATGTGTGTGTGTCTGTGTGTGTGTCTGTGTGTGTGTGTCTGTGTGTGTGCGTGTGTCTGTGTGTGTGTCTGTGTGTGTGAGTGTCTGTGTGTCTGTGTGTGTTTACCTGTGTGTGTGTGTCTGTGTGTGTCTGTGTGTGTGTCTGTGTGTATGTGTGTGTGTGTCTGTGTGTGTGTGTTTGTGTGTCTGTGTGTGTCTGTGTGTGTGTGTCTGTGTGTGTGTCTGTGTCTGTGTGTGTGTCTGTGTGTGTTTGTGTCTGTGTGTGTGTCTGTGTGTGTTTGTGTGTGTGTCTGTGTGTGTGTCTGTGTGTGTGTCTGTGTCTGTGTGTGTGTGTGTTTACCTGTGTGTGTGTTTACCTGTGTGTGTGTGTGGGGAGCGATAGTGTAGCGGTTAGCGCGCTGCGCTATGAACCTGGCGACCCGGGTTCGATTCCCGCTCACGGCCAACACCAGTGACAATTATCTGAACCGGTCCCGGGCCTCCCCTAGGTCGACTCAGCCTCAAATGAGTACCTGGTGCGGTGTGTAAACATTGCCACTAGGGAGACAAAGGCGGTCGGGCGTGGTGCTGGCCACCCACCCCCTCGTGTACCGTTCCGGCCTTCATAGGTGCTCGCTAACAGCACTTGCCCCTACAGTCTGTTAGGGCTATACGGGGGATCTTTGTCTTGTTATCTTTGTGTGTGTGTATCTGTGTGTGTGTCTGTGTGTCTGTGTGTATGTGTGTTTACGTGTGTGTGTGTGTGTGTGTTTACCTGTGTGTGTGTGTTTACCTGTGTGTTTACCTGTGTGTGTGTGTGTCTACCTGCGTGTGCGCGCGTGCGTAGGGGCCACGTACCGGTTCCGCGTGGCGGCGAGCAACGCGTGTGGGGAAAGTGCACGCAGCGCAGCGTCGCGAGCATACGGCGTGGGCGGTGCGTCGGATCGGCCGTCCCCACGGCCCGTCGCTGGGCCCTACATCACCTACACCGACGCGCTGAGCTCCTCCAAGATCCTGCTCAAGTGGACGGTGACTATCATGGGAAAAAAAACAAACGCGTGTTTATACGTAGATAACAAAAGTGTTTTGAACGTGGGCTGAAGCAGTGAGTTAATTGTCTTTTTGTCAACGTGACACTGGTTTTTTGCTGATTGGCCGTGTCGGGTGGTGGAGGGTTACGACACGTTTATAAATAAACGCGATCTAGCCCAAAAACCTTTATTGTGAAAAATATACATTTCTTAATGAAAACATTTGTACGTATGTAAACAAATATTTTCAAATCGTATCATCGAAATAAGTATATATTGAAACATATGTTTTCTAAATATATTTTAAATATTTTAAAATAATAACTACACAAATATATTAATAGTTGTGAAATATATAATCGGAAATATATTCATTTTTTATTTAAAATATGGAAATATATTTATACATTTTTGTATGCTTTTATATATAATATGCATAAATAAATATGTATTATATATAAATATATGATGCTATCCGTTTATGCGTCCAAGGGCGGGTGTATTGCAGTGATATATTCATTGCATCCATTCGTATGCAATTTGTAAGGATGTGGTGACACAGACTTTTCTCATTTTAAGGTTATAATCCCTTGTTCATCGTGACGTCCTTTTTACTTCGATGTCTCAACAACAGCGCTACGGAGATCACGTGACATGAGGGTTCTGCCTTTGTAGTGAGGGTTGTGAGTTGACGCCGAGGAGGGGGGAGGAGGCGCCTCGCCCCCCCCCCCCATGTGGAGTGACGTCAGCCGCTAATTATTATGAATTGGGGGGGGGGGGTGTCCATTTGGAGGACGTCACCTGCTCGTGATTATTAATGAGGGGGGCTGGTCGATGTGGAGTGACATCACGAGCGTTAAGGACAGACATTCCTGGGCGATTATAGTAGGTGTATGATATACGTTTATATAAAAGTATATATGTAAAAATATATATTTCGCGAATTACTTTACATGTGTTTTTTTTTTATTAAAAAATCTATATATTTAAAAAAACAGTGAAAAATCTATATTTAAAAAAATTCATATCCAAAAATATATTTTTTTAAACAACCAACCAGGGCAAACCGACGCACCTACCAGCGACGATGAGAAATAGGAAGAGGCTTCGGCCTTCAGCCTTCCGCGGTGTCCTTCCCTGGTCTGACACCGGTGCATGGACAAGGCGCAGTTTCAAGCACAATGCATACATTATATTATCGGAGCATGCCTGTTTGCATGTTTTGCCACAAGTATGTATGGTTAATGCAGACTTGATGCCTCGCAAAAGCTGCCCATTTTGTGTTCGAACATCTTAACAACCGCCTCCTGTTTTTCATCATTTGCGTAGCTCTATATTTGTACGTGTGTGCGAATGGCGTTTGTTGTTGTTGTCGTTGTTGTCATGTGTGTTTAGTGTACATGTGTGTGTACAGAATGATACACCGTGCCGGAGCGTCATAGGTTTCTGCTCACTAACAGCACTTGACCCCAACAGTCTGTCGAAGGGTATACGGGGGACCTTTTTGCATATTTGCATGTATGTGTCCGTGCGTGTATATGCGTTTAGCGTGCATGCGTGCGTACCTAATGGTACACAGTGCCGGCCTTCACAGGTGATGCTGCGATTCGCTTGCTGCACCGTCTGTCAAGGGCTACACGGGGGACCTGTTGTCTGTTTGCAGTACACGCCGGAAGCGAACAACAACACTCCGATCCGGGGCTTCTACATCTTCTACCGACCCACGGACAGCGACAACGACAGCGACTACGCTGAGAACGTGGCTGACAGTGCGTCTGTGTGTGTGTGTGTGTGTCACGTGTGTGTGTGTGTGTCACGTGTGTCTGTGTGTGTCACGTGTGTGTGTGTGTGTCACGTGTGTGTGTGTGTCACGTGTGTGTGTGTGCGTCACGTGTGTGCACGTGTGTGTGCGTCTGTGTGTGCGTCCCGTGTGTGTGCGTGTGTGTGTGTGCGTCTATGTGTGCGCGTGTGTGTGCGCCTCTGTGTGTGCGCGCGTGTGTGTGCGTCTATGTGTGCGCGCGTGTGTGTGCGCGTGTGTGTGCGCGTGTGTGTGTGCGCGTGTGTGTGCGCGCGTGTGTGTGCGCGTGTGTGTGCGCGCGTGTGTGTGCGTCCGTGTGTGCGCGCGTGTGTGTGCGTCTGTGTGTGCGCGCGTGTGTGTGTGTCACGTGTGTGCGCGTGTGTGTGTCTGTGTGTGAGCGTGTGTGTGTGCGTCTGTGTGTGCGCCCGTGTGTGTACGTCCGTGTGTGCGCGCGTGTGTGTGTGTCTGTGTGTGCGCGTGTGTGTGTGCATCTATGTGTGTGCGCGTGTGTGTGTGTCACGTGTGTGCGCGTGTGTGTGTCTGTGTGTGCGCGTGTGTGTGCGTCTGTGTGTGCGCGCGTGTGTGTACGTCCGTGTGTGCGCGCGTGTGTGTGTGCATCTGTGTATGCGCGCGTGTGTGTGCGTCCGTGTGTGCGCGCATGCGCCCGTGTGTGCGCGCGCGTGTGTGCGTCTGTGCGTGCATGTGTGCGCGTGTGTGTGTGTGCGCGTCTGTGCGTGTGTGCGTACGCGCGTCTGTGCGTGTGTGTGCGTGCTAGCAGCACTTGCCCCAACAGTCTGTTAAGGCTATACGGGGGATCTTTATCTTTGTGTGTACATGTACGTACATATTTGTACGTACGCTCACCTCTATCTCCCCATGTGTCTCTCACTATGTCTCCCTCCGTCTCCCTGTCACCTCCCCGCGTGTCTCCCTCCGCCTCCCCGTGCGTCTCCGTGTCTTCTCCCCGCGCGTCTCCCTCCGTGTCTCCCTCCGTGTCTCCCCGTGGCGCCCTCAGGTGAGATGCGCCACCACACGATCCACTCGCTGCTGCCAGAGACGTCGTACGACATCAAGATGAGGGTGTTCAATGACGGCGGCCAGAGCGAGTTCAGCAACGTCATGATCTGCGAGACCAAGGGTGAGCGAGCTAGCGAGCGAGCTACTGAAGGAGCGAGCGAGCCAGTGAAGGAGCGAGCCAGTGAAGGAGCGAGCGAGCCAGTGAAGGAGCGAGTGAGCTAGTGAAGGAGCGAGCAAGCCAGTGAAGGAGCGAGCGAGCCAGTGAAGGAGCGAGCGAGCCAGTGAAGGGGCGAGCGAGCCAGTGAAGGAGGAGCGAGCGAGCCAGTGAAGGAGCGAGCAAGCCAGTGAAGGAGCGAGCGAGCCAGTGAAGGAGCAAGCGAGCCAGTGAAGGAGCGAGCGAGCCAGTGAAGGAGCGAGCGAGCCAGTGAAGGAGCGAGCGAGCCAGTGAAGGAGCGAGTGAGCCAGTGAAGGAGCGAGCGAGCCAGTGAAGGAGCGAGCGAGCTACTGAAGGAGCGAGCTAGTGAAGGAGCGAGCGAGTGAAGGAGGGAGCGAGCTAGTGAAGGAGGGAGCGAGCTAGTGAAGGGGCGAGCGAGCTAGTGAAGGAGGGAGCGAGCTAGTGAAGGAGGGAGCAAGCGAGTGAAGGAGCGAGCGAGCCAGTAAAGGAGCGAGCGAGCCAGTGAAGGAGCGAGCGAGCCAGTGAAGGAGGGAGCGAGCTAGTGAAGGAGGGAGCGAGCTATTGAAGGAGCGAGCTAGTGAAGGAGCGAGCGAGCTAGTGAAGGAGCGAGCGAGCCAGTGAAGGAGCGAGCGAGGTAGTGAAGGAGCGAGCGAGCCAGTGACGGAGCGAGTGAAGGAGGGAACGAGTAAAAGGAGCGAGCGAGCGAGCTAGTGAAGGAGGGAGTGGAGTTTAACAACGTCATGCTCTACGACAGCGGTTCCAAACCTTTTTGGGCACCAGGGACCGGTTTCGTGGAAGACAATTTTTTCACCGACCGTGGAGGAGGGGGGGGGGGTCATCATTGAGTCTTTCCCCCTTTTCAAAGTAGCTCTCCAGCTATGTTTGTTTTTCACTCACTGTGGCTACTAGGGGGTTAGAGCTTGTGGGCTTGCTCCTTGTGGCTACTAGGAGTTAGAGCTTGTGGGCTCACCAAAACCGTGACTGAGACTGAGTGCGCAGTGCGGGAAAAGAGGCGCGGACGGAAGTGGTAAATAATGAAATAATGGGGGGCGGGCCACGTGATCGGACTCACCGCTCTCACCTCCTGCTGCTGTGCGGCCCGGTTCCTAACAGGCCACGGACCGGTACCGGTCCGTGGCCCGGGGGTTCAGCGAGTGAGCGAGCCAGGGAGCAAGTAAGTGAAGGAGGGAGCAAGTGAGTGAATGAGCCAGTCGGCAAGTGATTGAGTGAGGAAGCGATTGAGGCAGGCAGGGAATGAGAGAGGGAATGAGAGAGAGAAGGCGTTGAGGGAGGGAGCATGGGAGTGAATGAACGAGGCTGCGGTTGATTCGATGACGGAGAGAGGGGGTGATTGAGGGAGGGAGCGAGTGAATGAGCGAGGCAGTGTGGCCTCGACATGCACCTAGCCTGGCACGCACTCCCCCCCCCCTCTCTTAACCTCGACACTCTCCCCCCCCCTCACCCCCCCCCTCTCCCCCCAGCCGCCCGCAAGCCCCACAGGGCCCACTCCCCGCGGCCCCCCACCCACCACGACCACCATCACCACGACAACCGTCACCGCGACGACGACGACGACGACGACGACGACGATGACGACCGCGGCGAGCGACCGTCTGCCAAACCCTCGCGGTCTCCCGATAAAGACGGCGGCGGCGGCGGCGGCGGCGGCGGCGGCGGCGGCGGCGGTGAACGGAGTGGAGGCTCCGGAGGGGGCGCCCTGCTCTATCTGCTGCTGGGACTCCTCCTGGGCCTCATGGTGCTCACCGTGCTCGGCTTCATCGCGCTCAGAGGGTGGAAGGCTCGCAGCGGCGCGCGGGCGCACGGTACGTTGAGCGGGGGGGGGGGGGTACCACGTGACACTCACGGTATGTGGGGGGGTACCATGTGACACGGTACGTGGGGGGAGGGAGGTGTACCACGTGGCACGGTACGTGGGGGGGGGGAGGTGTACCACGTGACACTCACGGCATGGGGGGGGGGGGGAGGTGTACCACGTGGCACGCACAGTGCGTGGGAGGGGGGGGGGCAGCACGTGGCACGGTATGCGAGTGTGTGCCGTGAGTGTGGGTGTCGTGCGTCGTTGTTGGCCACCCACCCCCTCATGGTGTGCCACAGTGCCGGCTACTCGTTAACATTGTCAACCCCTTATCAGTGCACCTAGCTTCCTTATTGGTCACCCCCGTGCCCCTTATAAATCTCAACGTTCACCCTCTCAAAGTCACCATCGCAAGGGAAAAACACCAAACGGATGGACAATTTGTTTTTATTTTGCCCGTATTGAAACGGCCGTACGCCACGCGTGGACCCGACAACTAAATTTCACCTGTGCAAGATACATGGGGTACGGGTTGACACGGTGCGCTTGCCCCGACATTGCGGTTAAAGGCAGGGGGGGGTGGTGATCTCTGTCTTCCTTTGCGTAGGCAACGGCGTTGGGGCCGCCGGCTGCGTGGACGAGACTCAGCTGACCGAGCTCAGTGGCTACAAGTGCCGGCACGTCTACGACAGCGCGCCCTGCAACGGCCTCTACCCACACGGCTACGGCGTCGACCCGCACGTACGTGAACACGCGCGCGTGTACACACGCACACACACACGCACGCTCGTATACACGCGTACACACACACACACACACGTGCTCATATACACACAAGCGCTCGTACACACACACGCACGTACACACACACACACACACGCGTGCAGACATACACACATACACACACGTACATACACACGTACATACACACGTACATACACAAAAATTCCCCGTGTAGCCTAAACAGACTGTTGGGATTAAGTGCTGTTAACGAGCACCTATGAAGGCCGGAACGGTACACGAGGGGGTGGGCGGCCAGCACCACGCCCGACCGCCTTTGTCTCCCCAGTTGCGATGTTTACTACACACCGCACCAGGTACTCATTTGAGGCTGAGTCGACCTAGGGGAGGCCCAGGACCGGTTCAGATGATCGTCACTGGTGTTGGCCGTGAGCGGGATTCGAACCCGGGTCGCCGGGTTCCTAGCGCAGCGCGCTAACCGCTGCACCACCGCTCCCTCACACACAACAACAACAACAACCACAACCGCCATTCGCCACTAAGTGGCGGTGACGTCACCATGACGCTTGTGCCAGACATGCATACTCGTTTGCACACATACACGTGCACTTACGCACACACTTGCATACACCATACAGGTGTACGTAAATATACATGTACACGCACTCATACACACGCGTACACACGTTAAGCAGTGTGACTGCTTTCTGTGTAACTGCTGGAACTGTTGACCTAATGACCTTTTCTCGTGACCCAGGCGGACATCGGCTTCACTGAATTACCCCAGGAGGAGTGCCGGAGTGATGGCCGGTACGTGTGTGTGAGTGTGAGTGAGTGTGTGAGTGAGTGTGAGTGAGTGTGTGAGTGAGTGAGTGTGTGAGTGTGAGTGGGTGTGTGAGTGTTAGTGAGTGTGAGTGGGTGTGTGAGTGAGTGTGAGTGAGTGTGTGAGTGAGTGTGAGTGTGTGAGTGAGTGTGTGAGTGAGTGTGAGTGAGTGTGTGAGTGAGTGTGAGTGAGTGTGAGTGAGTGTGAGTGAGTGTGTGAGTGAGTGAGTGTGTGAGTGTGAGTGGGTGTGTGAGTGTGAGTGGGTGTGTGAGTGTGAGTGAGTGTGAGTGGGTGTGTGAGTGAGTGTGAGTGAGTGTGTGAGTGTGTGCGTGAGTGTGTGAGTACGCGTCTGCGCTGAATTCGCCCACTTTGAACCCCCGCGCCTATCTCTCTCGCCTCTAGGCCCACAGGAAGGGCTCCGCGCAGCCTAGCCAACGGGGTTGGAGGTCAAGGGTCGCATGAGACTTCACCTCTCAACTCTCGAAGAGCAAACGACGAGGAGGAGGAGGTAACGAGTGGATGGGTGAATGGGTGGGTGATTCCGTGAGTGATTGGGTGGGTGAGTGACTGGGTGGGTGAGTAAGTAACTGGGTGGGTGGGAAAGTGCGTTAGTTTGGTGGGTGATTGAGTAAGTGATTGGGTGGGTTGGTCGGTGAGTGGGTAGGTACGTGAGTGGGTGAGTGAATGGGGTGGGTGAGCAGGTGAGGGGTTCAATGATTGAGTGAGTGGGTGAACCCGTGAATGAGTCAGTGCGCAAATGAGTAGGTGGGTGATTGAGTAAGTGATTGGGTGAGTTGGTGGTGAGTGAGTGCGTGGGTGAGCGAGTGGGTGGGTGAACGATTGGATGGGTGGGCGATTAAGCGGGTGGGTGTGTGTTGAGTGTATGTCTGTCGTTGTGTATGTGCGTGTGTGTATCTACCCCGCGCTCGTGTGTATATGTACACGTGCGTGTGTGCATGTACACAGGTGATCCCCACGACGGAGGAGCAGAGGGCCCCATCGCAGAGCTCTGCAGACCCAACCATCGACTCGTTAGGGGACACAGACACAGAGCCAGGTGAGTGAGCGTTTGAGGCTGAGCCTACCTAGAGGTGGCACGGTGCATTCAGCCTCCCCATGCCACCAAGCCAGTTATAGCGTAGTCTGCTTCTTTTTTTTTGACAAGAAATAACTATGGGACGTGTTTTATCCAGTATCAAGGCGATGAAAAATTTTTAAAATTAGCTTTTTACCCTTTCCGGAAATGAAACAGGAGCTGTGTTAAGATGTTCAAACACCAAGTAGACAACACACCTATTGCAGAGGCATCAAGTCTGCATTAACCAAACACGGTACTTGTGGTGAACACGCAAACAGACACGCTTCTGATAATATAAGCAATGTCTTTGAAACTGATTGGCCTACACCAGAGACAGCCTTCAGGTGTTAGACCAGAGAATGCCAAGAGGCGAACAGTACAAGGGCAATGCAAGTGTAGTGTAACAGCGCCGGCTGGTGGACAGCAGCGGCAACTGTGGTGGACAGAGCGCACACGGGGGTGAGGGCGAGCACGGTGTGTTGGCAGAGCGGATGAACTCGGGCAAGGGTCACGGAGGATCCCGTCTGGGGGGCCCTGGAACCTGCCGCGCCGGTAGCGTAAAAGGAGGCGAGAGCGGGGGGCTCGGGGCTGCCGGTTCTGGGAGTGGACCCGTCTCGTCGTCGATGTCGTCTGGTCGCCGTCGGCAACGCTCAACGTCTCCGCTAGACGCTGCGCTACGAAGGAGAGCGCAGTAAAAACCTTGGATTGCGAGCGTGATTCGTTCCGGAAACGTGTTTGTAATCCAAAGCACTCGTATATCAAAGTACAACGTACATCAGTTGTGATCACGTGACACTCGGCAGACAAAGCGTGTACACGTACTACTACTCGTATTGCAAGACCTCGCTCGTATATCAAATTAATATTTATTTCACATTTTTTAGCTCGTCTTGCAAAACACTCGCAGACCAAGTTACTCGCAATCCAAGGTTTTACTGTGTTAATAGCTGGGGTTGAGCAGTTATATCTATAATAACGTGAGCTCAACTAAACTATTTTAAACAATTTTTATTTGACCAGATTGGGCCCACTGAGCTACACGGTTCTCTTTCGGGAAGCAACCTGGCCACAAATGATAGCTCAACAAAGTGGGCTTATCATCACGTGAGTGGGACGCGTTTGCCCCACTCGTGTGGGGCGTCCCGCTGTCCTTGCCGAACTTCTCCACGCTGCCCTGTCCCGCGTCATCTCTCTTTCCGCTCCTCGGGCCACCGAGTCCGATCGCACCACCGCATCGCCTTTCCTCTTGATCGCTTTCCTTCCAGCTGCATCACTCGCCACCTTCTGACCCACGTCATTTTCCCTGTCGTCTCTCGACAAGACCGCACCACACCCAGAGCCTGTTCTCTCTCGCTCTCTCCCATCTTCTCTGTGATTTCTACCACCTTGAGTCTTCCCCTCACTTCTTCATTTCTCACCCCCCGTGTCTTGCCACGTTGAACCCAACATCCACCGCAACATACTCATCTCTGTCACTGCCATAGCTCGGTCCTCCCTCTTTCTTGTGCCCCCGGCACTCGGCCCCCATACAACAGCGCCGGCCTCACCACCGTCCTGTAAACTTTTTCCCTTCAACCAAACTGGTACCCTCTTGTTGCACACCACCACAAGTCATCTCTCGCCATTTCAACCATCCAGCCCTTGTTCGTATACTCATCTCTCCTTCCAGCGATCCATCAGCCACACATGGAAATTTATATCAATCAAATACTGTACATGCATGTTTCTAAATGTGGAGGGGAAAAACCAGAGGGTCCCGAGAAAAATCCACGCGACCACCATGGGGGAGAGAGACACCGCAAACTCCAAATATACAGGTCAGGGTAGGCATCAAACCCACGACCTCCTGCATACCAGGCGAGAGAGTTAACATCTCCTAGCCACCACGGCGCCCTGAATTCCTCCCTTTCCGAACTCTTCCCTGCAGGCGACGGCCTCCCGACCGCGGACAGCGACGGCGAGAGGAGGGGCGGTGTGTCCTGCGACTCGGGCCTAGCGACGCAGGCCTCATCCTCCCCCTCGCCTGGGCACAGGCCCCCGCTGCTACAGGAGGAGGCCGAACAGCAGCAGCAGCAACATCAACAACAACAGCAGCATCAGCAGCACCAGCAACAGTAATCCCGCGAAAGCCCCAGGTGTCTCTCTCGTACAGAAACCTCCCGCGGGCCATCTTTGTACCCACTGGCGGACATTTTTTGTGCCGCGGGAACCTGTTTCTTTAGCACCGCTGTTGGCCACTTTTCTTTTTTACATTATAGTAAAAACGGCGGCCGTATTAGCGCTGTTTCGCGGCCACAATAGGTTTGTTGTCTTCCGATATCTGAAGGCCGATGATGTATTCGCGGTCGCGCTCATTCCAGCAGGATTGCTTCAAACGTTGCCTTCACCTTGTGGCCACGTTTTCCCGGTTTTGTGCCGGCGATGGCCCATTTTTTTTAATTCCGGTTTTTGAGTGGCAGAATTTTAGCAAACCTAACGGCCATTTTGGTACCGCTGGCGGCCATTAGCACCGATGCCGGCCATTTTGTTTATTGCCCGTGGTCATTTAATACCGCTGGCAGTAATTTAAGGCCGTTTCTCCTTATCGGATTGGAGTAGGATTGTTGCCGCTTCTAAGGTACACAAAAAAAAAAAAACCCGGGGGCATATCATGGGAAGATGGAGAAGAGGAATATCTCACAATAGCGGAAGAGGAGAAAACAGCACTACATGTGAATGCGCTGCCCACAGTGTTGGATTATTGTTCTTGTTATGAAGCAACTGAGAGAAAAAAAAACACCGGGACTTTGAATGTCCCAGGAAGACTGAAAGATCTTCCCAGGACCTCAGCTGCCTGGCTCAACAAAACGACGCCCCTGGAAAGGCCAGGATGGGTGGCAACCCACTCACTCGCTAACTCGATTACTCACCCATTCACTCATCCACTCATCCAGTCACTGAATCACCCAACCGCTCACGCATCCACTAAGTCACCTACTTCATTCACCCGTTTGCTCATTATAACCCACTTACCCAGCCACCAACTCACCCATACATCCACCCACTCACTCATCAACTTACCAATTCACTCACTCACCCACCCACCCCCTGGAAGACTGACAGATTTCCCCCAGGACAGCAGCTACTCCCTCACTCAACAAGAGGACAATGATCCATTAGAACACCAAGACCAGGTGGAAACCCTTGTGCCGGAGGCCTTCTCTGTCACTGCCGCCTTCCTCCGCGAGGCAAACGGTTTCGCCTACAAAAGTGTGGCCATCTTGGTTAAGGGAAAGTTCCGGATTGCGATGGGCGGGGCCGTCCTTTGCTTTAAAGGTCCTTCGCTTGAAATGCAAAACCGCGCGTTCTCACCCGTTAATGCTTCGTTTTTTTCCCACAACATTTTTCAGACGAGAGGCCTTGAAGAAAGGCCTCGTGGAACACACGTTTCCTCCTCCTACCTGTGATGGCTTATAAGGGTGGCCATATTAGGCAACGAAATGCCACCAGTTTACTCTACGTTTAGCCATCTTCGGGTAAGGGAATGGCAGTTGCAGAAGGCTGCCATACCGTAGAAGTCTCAGTTATTTGCAACCATCGTGGTGGGTAAGCCAGTTACATAGGGCAGCCATACTGGGTAAGGGGGAAGTGTCAGCTTTTGTGACGGCCATCTTGGGTAAGGCAGTTGCAATTAGCAGCCATCTTAGGTAAGGGAAAACGTCTCGACATCTGCCCTGCCAACTTGGGTAAGAAGTATTGAGCAAGCCATCTTGGGTACGTGGGTGGGGGGGGGAGGCTCAGTATCTGGAGGCCATGTTTAGTTAGGGGGGAAAAAAGTCAGCATCTGGTGGCCATCTTGGGCAAGGAATTTTTTAATGAGCATCTTGATTACGGGAATGTTCATCCTCCATTTGCCATCTTGGGTGAAGGGGAAAAAAGTCAGCATCTAGTGGCACTCTTGGGTAAGGACGTTTTTTTTATGAGCAGCCGTCTTGGGTAAGAAAAAAGGCTCAAGATCTGTGGCCATCTTGGGCAAGGAAATTTTTTTTTACGAGCAGCCATCTTGGACAAGGAAAAAAAGGCTCAGTATCTGGTGGCCATCGTAGGTAAAGGATAAAGGCTCAGCTTTTGTGGCCATCTTTGGTAAGGGGAAAAGGCTAAATCTGGTGGCCATCTTGGGCAAGTACGAGTTTTTGCGAGCAGCCAACTTGGGTCAGAAAAGAGGCTCAACATCTGGTGGCCATCTTTGGTAAGGGAAAAAAAAAGCTCAGCATCTGGTGACCATCTTGAGTTAGGAAAAAAATGCTCGGCATCTGGTGGCCATCTTGGGTAAGGAAGTTTTTTACAAGCAGCCATCTTGGGTATGGAAAAAAAGGCTCAGCATCTGTGGCCATCTTGGGTGAAAGGACATTTTTTTTGCATCTGGCGGCTAGCTTTTGGTAAAAGGGATAAACTCAGGCTTTTCTTACGACGGGAGAGAGAGACGAGGCATTTCGGTCCGGTAGACCGGTAGAGTCGCAGTACTTACATATCTATAGACAAACTCGCTCGCCATTCATACCTATAACCCTTGAACTTTGACCTATCACTTAAATTTAGGCCAATTGTAAATATAATTGTTCCGGTGTTCGTGTTTGTTTTTAATCGTTTTCTATTTGTACGCAAGCGGGTGCCTGGCACATGTTAAAATTTCTGCCGTGCGAGTGAGAGAGCTATTTTATACTCTGAAATGAGAAACTGTACAATGTAATAATATTTTTTTCTACGTTTAAACCGGTTAATTTTTCGTTTCTCGTACTATTGTTGTATTTACTTTAAAGCAACAATAACAACAACGAACTTGATTGTGTGAAAAAAAAGACGTTGTGAACCAGACTTTGCAGCGGTCCGGCCATTTAAATTTCAGTAACGTGGGTTACCGTTCAAAAGTGCACGGTCGCTCAAGCTTTGGTTCTCCAAACATCACTGTCTCTCTGACACGGTCATTACAACCCCCCCACCACACCACACCCTCCTTGAGAAAGATGCCCCCCACCACGAAGATGCAGGGATCGAACCCGTGACCTCAGCAGTCAGTGGCCGGCCGGCGTAGCTTCTCCCGACGAGGCCAAATTGCGTGCGCGGCCCCACCTCCCGGGATTAAGACAGTGCCGGACGAAGCTAGTACGGGGTGCCTCTAGCATATGTTATAAAGGGGCCCTAAAAAGAATAATAATAAAAATACAAAACACGTAAATATTAAAACACTAATGTCTTACTTGCATTGTAAAGTTATTGTATTGTTTAATTTGCTATACAGCCCAGATGATGCGACAAATCGCTAACCTTAAACACCCGATCGTTCGTAAAATTTGAATTGCGGTATAGTACTATAGTGCAGAATTACTGAACCGGAATTGATAGCTTGAAAGCGTTTAGCGCGGGGGCACCTTGAAATTGCGGGGGCCCGTAGCATTTGTAGCTACTAGGATCACCCGACACTGCTCCCGGGCAACAATGCGGCAGTGTCCGATAAAGGTCGTGCTTTTCAGCAAAACTGAAAAAAAAATATTGGCATTTGCGTACACTTGGCGAAGGCGAAAAAGGTCACCGCCCCGTTCAGAGACAAGACACTCTGTCGCGTGGAGTGGCGTTGCTATCGGCGACTCCCGTAGAGCCGATCCGATACGAATGGAACTTCCGGGTGTCGAGCTACGTTGCTATTTGGGGACTCGTCCCGGAGTAAACCGGACCACGTTGATCGCAGGGTTAACGAGTGAGCCCCATCTGTTTGTAGCGTGGGGGTGCCGCTTAACTCCCGCAGAGTATTTTTTCCCGATATGCATGGTTGTTCTTTCTTGCAAGCCGCGGTTTTATTCAACTCCTGTCTTGAGCGAGCGAGCGAGAGAGAGAGAGATAGGTGTTCGGATCGGTACCTACGCGTCCGTTTAAAATGAACTTTATTTTTGTAACGGTTAATCGAGTATTATTATTATTTTTAATATCACCATCGCTGTATATTGTGGTTTGTCTGTTTTTAATTCATAATGAAGGTTTTTGGGTTAGATCGCGTTTATTTATAAATGTGTCGTAACCCTCCACCACCCGACACGGCCAATCAGCAAAAAAAAATGTCACGTTGACAAAAGACAAATAATTCACTACTCCTGCCCACCGGTGTGTTGAAGAGTGAATCCTCCCCCCCTCCGCCTCTAATCACTGCACCTGATATGAGTTAAGTGATGACGTCACCCTGCTGCTCTATATAAAACCGGGAGCAAGCGAGGGCTTTACCATTCTGGCGAATTGCCCGATGATGCTGGATGTATTTACCAGCGAAACGTCGTACTCAAACTGTAAATGTGGATTCACTCTTCAACACACCGGTGGGCTGAAGTAGTGAATTATTTGTCTTTTGTCAACGTGACACTTTTTTTTTGCTGATTGGCCGTGTCGGGTGGTGGAGGGTTACGACACATTTATAAATAAACGCGATCTAACCCAAAAACCTTAACTGTGAATAATATTGGTCGCGAAAGCCTTCTACGTGTTAAACTGTCTGTTTTTGAATTTGTAAGCAAATAATCCCTGACTGGGCACAATGTAAGCATTTGCCGAGCAGCGCGTGTGTCAATATTAGGGTAATGGGTCTCGGAAAATGAAATCGTAGCCGATTTGAATTTTTTTTTTTCAAAAGAGGAAAAGGTGCCGATTTTATACGCCGTGGAGGGAAAATCTGTAACGCGCCACGCGCTTTCACCACGTGGGAGACCAGCAGATCCCAGCCACCACAGCACGGGCGGCGGACGATTGCCCGAGATCTGTGGTCCTGTGTCTTTTTCGCACCGTACGTAGCCGAACCACGTAATTGGAGGTGCGGAGGGAAGGACGGCAAAAACTAAAACAGTTCTAAATGATATTCTTAGTTTTTTCGGTAAAGTCACGTTGAAGGGAAACAACAAAATAATAAAATATATATAAAACAATAAAAAAATTCTCACGACGTTTCGACCATAACTCAAACGGTCATCTTCAGGTGTGTTGGTTTGCATAAATGTATTTTTAAACGGCGCATTTACTTATTTATTAAAAAAAAAACGTTAGCGCCACGCGCATAGATTGTGTTAGCTCGTGGCGCTAACGTTTTTTTTAAATAAATAAATGCGCCGTTTAAAAATAAATTTATGCAAACCAACACACCTGAAGATGACCGTTTGAGTTATGGTCGAAACGTCGTGAGAATTTTTTATTGTTTTATATATATTTTATTATTTTGTTGTTTCACTTCAACGTGACTTTACCGAAAAAACTAAGAATATGAATTACTGCAGTCACGAAAGCTTTAAATCAAAGTTCTAAATGAGCTTTCAATCTGGATGATGATTTAAAAGTGCCTCAACTCCCCGCGGGGCTTCCTGATATCGGAAGAGCGCGTTCCTTACGGCCGAGGAAACCGGGGGGACTCGGAAAAAAGCAACGCATCGTGTGAGTCGGGGCATGGTGGGGGTGGGGTGGGTGGTGTGGTGAGTAACGCTCAATCCCCGTACGGATGGGAATCATCCCACTTGCTGTCCCGCCTTCATCTCCTGTCTACGAGGCTGGAGATAATAATAATAATAATAGGGTTTTTCCCCCTTTTTTCTGGCAACAAAACTGAAGCCGTTTTACAAGGATTCATGTTTACTGCATTAACCACAATACCTGCAGTCAAAATGCAAACAAAAAACACTATGATAATATGATGCATTGTCCTTGGAACTGATTGGTCCACACCAAGGGACGGCTTTCTTTTGAGCCTCGACCCAATTGGTGCTCGACTAGATGACGCCAAAAGGCGTTACACAGCTCAAAGACAATGCCACTATCAAAGTAATGAGGGCTCGGGGTGAGCATCTACATCATTAGACTTCCTTTGCCAGTACCAAAATGTAATAATAGGGTTTTTCCCCCTTTTTTCTGGCAACTGAAACCTTTTAACAAGGATTCATATTACTGCATTAACCTTTTGGCGCCATCTGGTCGAGCACCAACTGGGTCGAGGCTCAAAAGAAAGCCGTCCCTTGGTGTGGACCAATCAGTTTCAAGGACAATGCATATATTATCATAGTAGGTTTTTTGTTTGTTTGCATTTTGACTGCAGGTATTGTGGTTAATGCAGTAAGCATGAATCCTTGTAAAAAGGTTTCAGTTTTCTTGCCAGAAAAAAAGGGGAAAAACCCTATTATTACATTTTGGTACTGGCAAAGGAGGTCTAATGATGAGCCTGGAGATATTGACTGGGCGCCTTGGTGGCTAGGAAAAGATGTTAACTACCTCGCCTGGTATACAGGAGGTCGTGGGTTCGATCCCGACCCTGACGCCTGCTGCTGCTGCTGTATATTTCGAATTTGCGGTGCCTCTCTCTCATTTCTCTCGCCCCATGGTGGTCGCGTGGATCTTTCTCCGGATCCTCCAGTTTTTTTTCCCCCTCCACTTTTAGAATTGGCGTTACGCGTTCAAGAGTGTCTGCGGGGAATCTTTCGTCTTTTGTTCCGTCACTGCCATGTTGGGGGGTGTTGTGGCTCAGTCAGTCGAAGCGGTCACCAAACATTAATGGGGTCTCTCTTACCCTAATGGTGACACACGCGACGAGCTATGTAGTCTGTGTATAGGTGAATGTGTGTAAAGTCCTCCTTTATTTAACCATGTGAGTGCCCGTTGAGTTCTCAACGTCTCTTGTGTAAGTAAATAATAATAATTGATCTTTTTTTATTTAACCAGGTGAGCGAGTGAAGTGAGATTCACTGCCTCGTGTGATTGATGTACTTTATTTAACCAGGCGAGAGAGCCCGCTCACGTTCATAGACCAATAGATTTACATTAACCCGTAGGCTCACACAGACACCCATAGACCCACACAGAGACACAAAGACTCTCACAGAGACCCGTAGACCCACATAGAGACCCGTGGACTCGCAGAGACGAGACCCACAGACGTACAGGAACGACCCGTAGACTCTCACAGAGACCCACAACCACTCCATGAATGGAAATGCAATTCACGGCCAAACATCCCAGCAAAGTGGCACGGCCCTCCCGCGCGTGGCACGAACCTCCTGGCCAAGGGGTCTTGAGACTCGGGCAAGGAGGGCAGCGACGAACAACGAGCACATCGTCGTCCAGATCGTCGTCGCATCGTCACCATCGTCATCCACGTCGTCACACCGTCCACATCATCTACATCGTCACGTCATCCACGTCATCACACCGTCCACATCATCAACATCGTCACGTCATCCACGTCGTCACACCGTCCACATCGTCGTCACATCGTCATCGCGCCTTTCAAATCATCCACACCGTCGCATCGTCACGTCATCCACATCGTCACGTCGTCGTCCACATCATCTACATCGTCACGTCATCCACATCGTCATCACGTCGTCCACATCATCTACATCGTCACGTCATCCACACCGTCTCACCGTCCACATCATCTACATCATCACATCATCCACATCGTCGTCACGTCGTCCACATCATCTACATCGTCACGTCATCCACACAGTCTCACCGTCCACATCATCTACATCGTCACGTCATCCACATCGTCATCACGTCGTCCACATCATCTACATCGTCACGTCATCCACATCGTCATCACGTCGTCCACATCATCTACATCATCACGTCATCCACACCGTCTCACCGTCCACATCATCTACATCGTCACGTCATCCACACCGTCGTCACATCGTCCACATCATCTACATCGTCACGTCATCCACACCGTCTCACCGTCCACATCATCTACATCGTCACGTCATCCACACCGTCATCACGTCATCCACATCATCTACATCGTCATGTCATCGTCC